CTTCAGCCTCTCAAAGTGCTGGGATTACAGGCTTGAGCCACCACACCCGGCCTCTTTACCAGTTTTTAGGTGCATTCATTCATATGTACACAGACCTGTATAATTTTTACAGCTTCTCTAGTGATAGGTCTTCAGTTTTCTATAATGAAATAAACTGAAAAATAGGATTTTTAAACTTAAGAGCCAATCTCTTGGATTCCAGTTTTTTTCTCTCTAAAGTATAAATAAGCCTATCTGGCAAATATGCAAAGAACAGGCTAACCAGAAGGTCACTTGCTAGTTACTTGGACTCTGGATAAAATATAGACATCGTTCAGGCATGTTGCGATCCTTTCCACAACTAGACTGGAAACAGTTTGAAGGCAAGAATCACTTCTTGTGCTGAGTACTAAATTATACATGCAAAATAAATAATTGATTCTCAGGTCATTTTGCAACAGTAATTCTGGATGACTGAGGGGCTCCATTAACATGAAAAAGTAGACCAGGTTCAGTGGCTCAGTCTGTAATCCCAGCACTTTGGAAGGCCAAGGTGAGTGGATTGCCTAAGCCTGTGGGTTCAAAATCAGCCTGGGCAGCTTGGTGAGACCTCATCTCTACAATAAATAAAAAATTAGCCGGGCCTGGTAGCACGTGCCTGTAGTTCCAGCTACTTGAAAGGCTGAGGTGGAAGGATTGCTGAAGCCCAGCAGGTTGACGCTGGGGTGGCCGTGAGTGTGCCACTGCACTCCAGCCTGGGCAATGGAGTGAGACTCCAACTCAAAAAAAAAAAAAGTATCACTGATGAAAATACTTACACACAATACAAAATTCAGAAAGCTCAAAGAAGGAGAAGAAAACTTGTTTTTAAATGTATACTTTTTTTCTCCTTTGAATTTTATCATGTGCACAAATTGCCTATTTAAACATAAGAATGGCATTACCAGGTCAAAATACATAAGCATCTTTATGCCGGGCTCACTGGCTCAGTCTGTAATCCTAGCACTTTGGGAGGCCGAGGCAAATGAATTGCCTGAGCCTGCAGGTTCAAGACCAGCCCAGGCAACTTGGCGAGACCTCGTCTCTACAATAAATAAAAAATTAGTGTGTTCCTATAGTTCCAGCTGCTTGGAAGGCTGAGGCAAAAGGATTGCTGGAGCCCAGCAGGTCGACGCTGGGATGGCCATGAGTGTGTCACCCCGCATTCCAGCCTGGGTGACAGAGTGAGACTCCAACTCAAAAAAATCTTTAAGATTGACAGATACAGCCGGGCTGGGTGGCTCAGCCTGTAATCCCACGCCTTGGGAGGTTGAGGTGAGTGGATTGCCTGATCCTGCGGGTTCGAGACCCGCCTGAGCAGCGAGACCTCATCTCTCCAATAAATCAAAAATCAGCCGGGCGTGGTAGCACATGCCTGTAATTCTGGCTACTTGGAAGGCTGAAGCGGAAGGATCGCCGGAGCCAGCAGGTCGAGGCTGCGGTAGCCGGGAGCGGCCACTGCACTCCAGTCTGGGCGACAGAGTGAGACTCCAACTCAAAAAAAAAAAAGCCGGGTGTGGTAGTGCGTGCCTGTAGTTCCAGCTATTAGGAAGGCTGAGGCGGGAGGATCGCCGGAGCCCAGCAGGTCAAGGCTGTGGTGGCCAGGAACAGCTACTGCACTCCAGTCTGCTGGGCGACAGAGTGAGACTCCAACTCAAAAAAAAAAAAAAGATTGACAGATACTTTGCCTTGGCTAAAGAAATTGTTCTGGTTGGGCACAATGGCTCTGGGAGACCAAGGTGAGGGGATTACTTGAGCCCAGGTGTTCGAGATCACTCAGGGTAACAGTGAGAGCTTGCCTCTGAAAAAATTAGCTGGGTGTGGTAGCACATGCCTGTAGTCCCAGCTACTTGGGAGGTTCAGGTGGAAGGATTGCCCAACCCTAGGTCGAGGCTGCAGTGAGCTGTGGGTCATGCCACTGGGCGACGGAGTGAGACCCTAACAAAAAGAAAAAGCAGTTGTTCTACCTCTCTGTCCACCAGTCGTGTTGGTGGGTGGCTGTCTCCCCAGTCTCCTCACTTGGGCAACATAACCGCTTGAGTCCTGGTCGTTGAGTCCCTGCTGTTCTGTGCCATTTAGAGCACGCCAATCATAGGGAGCAGTCCGTTTAGTCGCTCGCCCTCTCTCACTCTGTTGCAGGCCAGACGGGTGCCGGGAACAACTGGGCGAAGGGGCACTACACAGAGGGCGCGGAGCTGGTGGACTCGGTGCTGGACGTGGTGCGCAAGGAGTGCGAGCACTGCGACTGCCTGCAGGGCTTCCAGCTGACACACTCGCTGGGGGGCGGCACGGGCTCGGGCATGGGCACGCTGCTCATCAGCAAGATCCGGGAGGAGTACCCCGACCGCATCATGAACACCTTCAGCGTCATGCCCTCCCCCAAGGTGTCTGACACGGTGGTGGAGCCCTACAACGCCACGCTGTCCATCCACCAGCTGGTGGAGAACACAGACGAG